GACAACAATTGAATCGGGATGGCTCCCTCCTGCTTCGGTTTTCATCGACACTTGATCGAGGGCGCATTGTCGCCTCCTCGAGCACCCCCCTGCCCTACCCCCCTGGTTTTCCTCAAAATGAAATGCCATAATGTAACAATGGGACACCGTGAAGGAATGCAAGGCGCCTGCTGGACCCGCCCAAAGAGACCCCCGACGGACCACAAACAGCGCCCGCTTCTGTGGGCGTCAGCAGACTGATGGGCCTGATGGGTTGGGTGTTTCGTTGGGCTCGCGCGATGGAATCAGGTGTAGTCCAGAACGTCCAGAACCTCAGATGGGCGATGGTGGCCGCATACGTTAAGTCTATACTGTGCAGTATACATGATGGGTTGATTCTCACCTGTAGTTGTCCGGCCAGCTGTTGGTGACGTCCCCGGGCTTGCCGGCGGCCGTCTGTGAGTGCGGCCGCGTCCAGGCAGAGGGTTGGTGGTGGCCGCCGACGCCGAGTCCCGAGCCGACGCCGAGCCCAGAGGCGACGCCGAGGCCTGAGGCGACGCCGAGCCCGGCCGGGCCGACGGCGCAGTGCTGGGCCGCGAGGGCCGCCGCCGCCCCGTGTCCTGGGACGGCAACGGGGGGTGGCGGGCCCTGGTGGTGGTAGCCGGAGTACGAGGCAAGGCCGGAGGCGACGGCCGCAGCCGACGCCGTGGAAGTCACGGCCGCCGAGGACGTCGTCGGCGAGATGCCGGGAGGGTGGTCGCCCATCGGCGGCGGGCCGCCGGGCGACGAGTACGACGGGCTGGTCGACGTCTGGTAGTTGGTGAGCGCCGAGGAGGCGTAGCCCGCGGCCACGGCCGACTGCTGCACCCAGGACGCCGTGTGACCTGCAAAAACAACAAGAACAAGGGAATTAATGTCAGCGTCCTCTTACTGTAATCGAGACTCATTCATGCGGCGCGGGTCCGGTCCCATTCAAGGGAGATCAGTTGCCCGATGGTCCAGCCCCAGCATCGCACCGGCCCATGCAGGCGGGCGGGACCAAAACTGATGGCTAATGTGGCATACGGGCTCGCGGCGCCCCCAGTTCGCCCCGCGGCGGCTCTCTGGCCGGAGCGCACGTGGACTCCATTGAGGGAGCGGGGCAGCGGAAGGCGTCGCCGTATGAACGGGCCGCGGGGGAGGGGCTCGGCTCG